ACCTGCTTCTGATAAAATATGGCCAAGGCAAAGAGATTCTGCAGATGTAATTAAAGCTCCGGATAAGTTCCTGAACTAGTCAGATGATGCTGCGTGGGCCTCATCTAACTAGGCGAGCCCTTTCAGAGGGCTGAGATCTTACTTGAAGTTAAGAGGACTCCAAGCAGTGGACACTCTCCATTGCTGGCTTTGAAGCAAATTGTAGCTGTAGAATTTACAGAAATTTACTTCAAAGCCAGCAATGGAGAGCGCTCATTACTTGGAGTCCTCTTACTTCACAACCCAAGCAGCTTGGAAGTGGATCCTTCCCCACTTAAGCTGCCAGGTAAGAATAGAACCCAGATACCCCTTTGATTTTAGCCTTGTGTTAGACACCAACCTAACCCACATAGTGTGTTGCTTTCAGTTTCTAAAAGTTTTTACTCAGCAGTAGGTAACTAACATAGATGTCTTTTGATAAAAGCTGAAATCCTAATCTGGGCTCACTTGGTCACTGCCCCAAATCCTACATACGACAGCACAAAGAACCCATGAGTCAGGTACTGGTAAAACGGCAGCTGTGTGTGCCTATGAGCTAAGCAGGAGGAGGACACAGTATTCTATGTCATGCTGGGTGAAGTTTTTCAACATCAGTGAATGGAAAATGTCATTGCTCTCAGTGCAGTTCATCACATCAATCGTTTGTATACTGAAGGTGAAATTGTAATTTTGTGTGTGTGTGGAGTCTCTTTTGTCTTAGCTGTGAAAAGTTAACTACAGGATCTAGGTTTTCCTGAGGATAACAGGTGTTCACTGAGGGAGGATCAGTGTTCAGAAATATTTTATCTTCTTGTCTTGCAATGTTATTCTAATGAGTTAGCTGGTGTAGTCAGGGTTTTGTTCAAATATGTGATGACACTACAAAGGGAGATCTCATGAGACTAACAAGACACCTTTAGTATACACAGGGCTCTTTAAATCATCACTGGAGAAATAGGTATCTTTCCTATGCTGCCATTTCAGACTTTTACAGTAACTCACAGCAAAAAAAGTCCATGTTTGAAATAAGCAGTCCCTTTCAAACAACAGGTAAAGGAAAAGGAAGGTATGTAGGGGCTGTTTTGTTACTGCTGCGTTTGAATGGTGCTGCCAAAAGCAAAGGTGACTCTTCTGGAAAGCAAGACAGGCAGCTGGGGAGGTGGGGAGGGATTAGATTCCTATAGCCCAGGAGCTGGCAGAGATGTTAGAGCAGTGGTTCTCAACCTGTGGGTCATGACCCCTTTGTAACAATGAAAATACATCCTGCATATCAGATATTTATATTACGGTTAGTAACAGTAGCAAAATTACAGTTATAAAGTAGCAACGAAAAGAATTTTAAGGTTGGCTCCGTGCCTGTGGCTCAAGTGGCTAAGGCGCCAGCCACATACACCCAAGGTGGTGGGTTCGAATCCAGCCCGGGCCCGCCAAACAACAATGACGGCTGCAACCAAAAAATAGCCAGGTGTTGTGG